TTTATACAGTAAACAGAGCATAGCACGTTCAGCTTAAGAAAAAAATTCAGTGCAGGCCTATATTCATGGTTCACATATGTGTAATTGCTCTTCATAACGAAGGGAAAACTGCTTAAGTTGTGGCCCACTACAGGCTTTCTATTAGTGTTAAAAAGTGTGGTAGAAAACAAGATTGCGCTTGGAAGACGGGGACATAGGAAGGACAGACACAACAGAGCGCTAACATTCAACTGATTTAATTCATGAACCTCAGCGTAGAAACGGACTTTGTCACCGCACCACATCACAACCAATCCGTTCTGCCACGGACCGCAAGTACGCCAACTCCTTATCCGCCAAGTCAATTGACGCCATACTGACACAACTTGTGCCGGAACTATTTATAGTGTCAGCCTCCATAATCTCGCTAACAGTCCTATCTTTGTGCCTCTCAAGAACAGTAGACGAAGCAAACAATTGTTTGCACCCGCAGTCATGACAGTGACACGACAGATCATCACTGCGAGTGCAAACCATTATTTGCTTTGTCTACTGTTCTTGCTAGGCACAAAGATATGACTGTTAGAGAGATTATGGAGGCTGATGCTATAAATAGTTCTGGCACGTGTTGTGTCAGTGTGGCGTCAATTGACTTGGCGGATAAGGAGTTGGCGTACTTGCGGTCCGTGGCAGGGCCACGGATTGGTTGAGATGTGGTGCGGTGACGTTTTTACGCTGAGGTTCTTGAATTAAATCAGTTGAAAGTTAGCACTCGGTGGTGTCTGTCCTTCCTATGTCCCCGTCTTTAAACCGCAATTATGTTTTCTAACGTACCGTACGAACTTGCCCAACAATCAGCACTTGTTAAAAAGTTCTATTGTGTTTTAAGCAGCTCGCACCAAATATTTTCTTGAAATACATAGGTTCATGAAAATTATTATGTAGATGTTGGCAGACAGTCATGGTAAGGCCAATCTTTAATGCCAAGTGGTCCACTTATTCAGAGTTAATTGAGTTTGTAAATATTGTAGGTCGCAAATTAAATTTTTATGGTATGCAATGGGTACAATTATCTGTAACGACTAGCTCTACCTAGGGGAACTTCATACGTTTACTACGGCAAGATGGTTTCGAAAAACAAAGTATTTAGTTTATTCAACTCCTGCACTAACCTTGTCTTTAGAAACTTTTTATATTCTTTGCGATGCTGAGATAAGATTCTGGAAATAGTTTTTCTAGAACTACTTTAGATATTTCCAGTTCATCATTTTTCTCGCAAAGCATTCGAAAGAGCCAAACCCTGTAATGTACGGAGAGAATTCACAGAATGATGCGACTGACAGTTTGGAACATTCGGCACTGTAACAGTAATAATGACATGTCACTTATGTAATGCTCATTATCGCAGATCAAACTGCTTTTTCCATCTACACTCATTTTCAGTAGACTCATCCAGCGAACTCCCACCTGAGACTGCAGCGCTGGGTTCTGCAAAGTAATTTGAATGAATAATGATGCAACAGGTTTCTTTGAGCATGCGTCTAACACATATTCTTTATATTGAATCTGCTAAGTGTATTCATGACCATGTCCATAATTGTATCCACATTCCAGCTTATTTTTATTTTGACATTTGAGTTTTCCTCAGTACTTTTCTCAACATCTGTGCTTGTTGAACCATACTCAAGTCCATACATCTTGTCTTTCGCTATTACATTAATATATAAAACTGTTGATGCCGAGTGAGAATTCAAGGTACCGAATCTGTCGTGCGAGCTAAATAAGAACCAATAAAAAGCTATACAAAGGAAATTCTGTTAAAGGAGGCTGTATGGGCATTAGAATAGCACATGCCATGCTAAAATAAAAAATACAAATTCTTGTTAGGTATGCAAGGATGACAGTGTTGTGCTGTTTCTGATGTGTCACAAAAAACAAAAAAAAATCAGTGCCATACAGTGTTCCTTATGGAAGTACAAACTGTTGAATTCGAAGCCCAGAAGTTTTATTCAAGAATGTTCCTCAATACAAATGTATTTTGAGATCTGAGCCACTGACTGATACATGACTATGTGGCAAACATTCATTTTCATGTGCATTATAGTTTACTAGGTCTAGTCTGCATTGATTTATTGCATTCATGCTGAAACTGGGAGGAATTCTCTGGGTATGAATAAAGAGATAAACATTTCTTGATATCAAAACATTTGAGAACGGACAAAAGGAAGGATCTGGGAACGGTATCTTAGATTCTCCTTTTTCTTACAGTACATGTAATGTTCACTTTGTTTCACCTGATGCATTTAGTTTTTAGCGCAGCTGTTAGCACCCGTTTCCGCGTTTCGCGGCGTCGCTGTCGGCGTAACCGCCCAACTAAACTTGGCAGGAAATTGAATTAATGTTGTGGTCATGTGACGTTAATATTTCCGCTAAGTCTAGCTGAGAAACTGAGTGTTTTTATGGATGACGTGACACGGTCATGCGACGTCATTTTCCCCACTACTTTTAGCGGAAAAACTGCATTTGTGTTGAGGTCATGTGACATCAATTTCCGCACTAAATTTATTGGGAAACTTAACCCGCTAAATTTAGTGGGGAAATTTCCCCCTAAATGGGAGGGAGCAGAAGAGGAGGAGGGGAGGGGAAGGAGGGGCATACCCTCCCATCTTCCTCTTCGAGAGCTGTACTGTATTTTCTCATTACAGAGAATTGTAAACGTCTCATATTTCATCTCATGTTTTTTCAACTTTTATATTGCAGGTGCACTTGCAGCACAAATCTGGGTTGTGCTGATCCTCTACGCACAAGTTAGGAACTCCTGAGTGACAAGAGTGGGAGTTTGGTCTGACAGCTCAAGGGACACCATTGTTCAGTATTGAATTTTTAATTATCTTCTTTTGAGCAAAGTTAAGCTTTGCTGCATGCAGTTCTTCTAAAAATAAATACCTGCAACCAAATTTACCAGGTCACGACATTTTGCCTCTGCTCTTAGTGCTCCTGGTGAGCCTCGGATGAGAGCTTACTGGGGTGCAAACATCATAATTGTTTGAAACCACTCACTGATGTAGAGATGATTGACATCCAGCATTCCAATGAAACGCTGGATATCCACAAGTCTTTCTTGAACAATGCAAGCGGGAAAGGAACCATACAATCATATTGTATTGGGGGACATTCTACAGAGTGTTTTTTTGTATATTTTACAGATTTTTTAAAAAAAAGCCGTAAAAGCTACATTTACGCAGTCTGTACACGTGAATTATATGGCCAGGGCGGCATAGTATAAAAGGCTAATTTGTAATGATCAGTCGGCTTATTACAGAGATGTGCCAGACTTCTTTCAGAAAACTAGATGGAGGTTCATTCTCGCGTGGTTTTATCCCGCGAATCTGAATATCCCGTTCGTTTTCCACAAAGATATAACTAAACGTAAGAAAACACAAAAAAAACATCCTACCAATAGTGACATCGTAAGAAGACCTTTCAGCCGCCAAGTGTATGTCGCTTAAGGGCCGCGCGTCCAGTCGCAAGTTTTCTAGGTATATTCTCCCGCATTGGCACCAGTCGTGACACATTTTTCTGCCCCTTTAAAAAATAGCATGTGCGTGCATAGCTTTCATAGGCACTGAAGATGCGTGAACAAAGATTTTGAAAGCTGCTCTTGTGACGTCCCTCTCTAGGGAAGTGCTTTCAAAGCGCTTTAAAAATGACTCTATGCAGCCTCGATTAATTAAATTAGCAAATAATTTTGATATTTGAGATTCTGGAGGTCAAATGAAGAAGATTTAAAAGTGTTTTCTCAAATACAAAACCGCTTTAGCCTCTCTCTAAGTATAGTATGTTCCTAAAATTTTTAATCAGTGAAAATAGACCCATGGTTCCATTTAGAAACTTCTAAGCATCATCAAAACACACTAAATCAATTTTCTTTGTGAAGATATAAGACAAGAGCAGCATTTTATGGTGTTCTAAAAGAATGGTCAATTTGGACGCGTTTCCAGACTTCGGTTTCTTACCAGAGCGCATCTTTGCACCTACGGTCCTGCTGCCCGGTGGCCGCAGTGCGAAGCCGCCCCCTCGCCTCCCTCGTAGGATGGAGGGAAGCAAGGCGCACGTGTGTTGCGCGTCTAAGCCCCTGGGAAACAGGACCGTGGGCGCAAAGATGAGCTCTGATAAGAAACTGAAACCCAGAAACTCGTCCAAATAAAGCATTTTTACAGAACGCGTAAAATGCTACCCCTGCATTATATCCTTCTAAAAAGAGTTGATTTTGTGGTTTTCAGTGACTCAGCAAGTTTCAAATAGAAACCATAGTTTCATTTTCACTAATTAAAAAGTTAATTAACAAATTGTATTTAATTATCTGACTGATCGTTACGACTAGGTCCCTATACTACGTACGCCTGGCCATATAACTCTCCTGCACAAATCGCATTAATTTAGCTTTCACGGCCTTTCTAAACATATATGTAAAGCTTAAAACTAAATTGCCGTGTACAACAGTGAAAAGGCGAAACCACCATGTTGGAGCCATATGGCTCCAACATGCCGGTATCGCCTTTTCGCTGGTATAGGATGTCCCATATTACGTTATCCATGTATGGTTCCGTCCGCCTACGTGGTTCCTCAAAAATCCACTACGCCGGTATAGGATGTCCCATAATACGACACGCTTGTATGGTTCCGCCTACCTGTATCGTTCCGCCGTAATCCAATATACTGGAGCTGCCTTTTCGCTTGTATAGGATGTCCCATATTACGGTTACGCTTGTATGAGCCTTTTCCATCATCTTTCCATCATCGATATTTTCCAACAGGGCAAGCCCATGTAAACACAAGAATCTGTAGTTCCCTAGTGCTTGCTCATTTTTAAATGTCCCCAGTTCATGACTGTGAGATGATTGGCTGGAGTTATACATGCAACGAAAATTGACATTTCCGTTCTGTATTTTAGGTACAAAAGAGCGCAGGCACGAAAATCGGCGCAGACCGCTCGTGGTCGGCCACTTTTGCTCTCTGGCATGGATGCCAGGAAGGAGAGCACACTCATCTCGACCGAGGACCTGGCCCCTGCAAGTCCACTGCTCGTGGAGGCTGCCAAGCCTGCACTGGAGGACTGCTGCTGCACCTCGGGTAGGTCCGGGGGCGATCCCATGGCACCGCATCATTTCTTAAATGGAACTCATCTGTTCAATTATGCCTCTGCAGAAGACCTAGCTGTCGAAGAGGACATGCCGGGCGAAAACGAGGAAACAGAGAGGTCCCCAGATTGTGGCCTTGGATCAGGTTTGTAGCAGTTTCAGGCATGCTTAGGATTGATAGGTTACAGTCACAGGCTTCTAAACTAACAGAAAGAAAGATGAAGTCATATCCAACATACCCTTCTCAAGCTAACATTTTTTTTACTTAATTTTGCGTAACCTGTAGTGTTGCAAGTATATTTAGCATATGATAGGTTTCTCGCAAGTGTGGTTAACAAGCTTTTGTGCCTTAGTGACACATTCCCTTTGATAATAAAAACACTGCGATACTGTCCCCATTCTCCAAACCCATCTACTACTACTTCTTGTTCCGATTGCGTTCTTGCCCAACTAGTGCTTTGGTATTCTGAGTGCGCCTTATTGGCTTTCGAAGTTTAGACCATCATCGCCACATATACGGAAACTTTTGGAGGCATATTGTATTCGAAAGCTTTGTAGCCGCACAAATTTTAATATGATTAGGAGTATCTTTTACAGCCTGCAGCAGGGTGTTGAGAAGGTGCAGTTATAACCATACCAATCTCAACAATATTACAGAAATGCAGGATTGTGGCCAAACAACAGACATCACCCTGCAATCTATGGCCCTCCTAGAAGATGAAAATCGGCAGCTGATGTCAGATCTGAGAGACGCAAGAGCAAAACTTGCAGCTCATTGCCTGGATGAGGACGCCTTCCAGGAAAACAAGGACATGGTCCCTTTCTACACTGGCCTTCCTAACTTTGCAATTCTGTTAGCCGTTTTTCAGCTCATCCAACGTCGAGTGAGCCACAACGATCGCAATTGCCTGACAAAGTTTCAGGAGATGATTGTATTCCTGATCCGCCTGCGTCTGAACACTCCACTGCAAGACTTGGCGTACAGGTATGGGTGTTTTCAATTATTTTGGTGACTGAAAATAAACCAAAGCACGAAAAGCCCCTCTTATCTTGTCATCTTGGTAACCAAACGATTATGCAGGTTCCAGGTATCGCAGCCCACCATCTCAAGGATAGTCGACAGGTGGCTGGAAGCTGCGTTCACGTCAATGGCCAGTGGGGTTGCTTGGCTTCCGAGAAACGTTTTGCGAGAGACTATGCCAATGGCTTTTCGCGAGACGTTTGGCACACGAGTGGCGGTGGTGCTGGACTGTTTTGAGGTGTTTATAGCTCGGCCATCGTCTCTTCTCACGAGGGCGCTGACATGGTCGAGCTATAAACATCACAATACAGTGAAGTACCTAATCGGTATCGCCCCACAGGGTTTAATTACATTCATATCGAAGGGTTGGGGAGGACGAACAAGTGACAAGTATTTGACAGAGAATTGTGGGGTACTGGACAATCTGCTTCCAGGTGATTCAGTGCTAGCTGACCGGGGCTTTACGATTGCAGGCTCAGTTGGCATGTACTGCGCACGCTTGGAAATTCCTGCCTTCACAAGAGGCCGGCCACAACTGGCACCTTCTGCGGTTGAGGCAACACGAAAGCTAGCAAACGTCCGTATTCATGTTGAAAGAGTAATTGGGCTGATACGAAGAAAATACACGATCCTGAAGAGCACTATTCCATCAGAGTTACTGGTTGCTCGAGACGGCACAAACACGGGGCTGGACAAGATTGTTCTTGTATGTGCTGCCTTGACTAACCTGTCAGCACCTATTGTACCCTTTGGGTGATGTATACATTACCACTGCCTCATTGGCTGTGCTGTTCAGAGTTGCCTTCATGTAACGTTATACAAACGAATTATACATTCCACATTTAAAAGGCAACTCTGCTCCATTTTTCAATTTTCAGGTTACTAACTGGTTTTGGTAGACTCGGCGTCGCTGAATCGCCAAGTATATTTTTTATTTGTGATGAATGAATGAAATAAACAGCTCAACAAATGATTATAAATTGCAAACTCGTCATTCTTTGTCTTGTTTACCAGAGTTAATTTGTAGTGATCATGGCATTAGGAACAACATACTTCAAGCACATAAGGGGCAATCAGTGTCAAATATATTTAGATCTAAATAAACTCACTTCTCACAGCTTACATTTTGAGCGGAACCAGCTGAATATACAATTATCGGAGCATTCATACAAATGAGAGGAGACGGAAAATGTGCATTCCACTGCTCGACTACCAACTGTTTTAATGGTAAACTACTTTTTTTCTTATTACTATTGTTTGTTCTGTTTGTAGCTGAAGAAAAGGAAAAAGAACAAACAAAAGTAGTCGAAGAAAACGAAGTTCATCATTAAAACAGTTGGTAGACCAGCAGTCAAAAGCACATTTTCTATCTCTCCTCTGTAGGAATGCTCTGATAATTGTATGTTCAGCTGATTCAAGTCAAAATTCTTAGTGACTTCAATTATAGGGCATGAAACTTCAGGAGCAGAGCAAACACTGTTAAAAAAGTTCCAAGCTACAAGGGCACACAAAAACATTTCAGCAGGCATGTTAAATCTACTGTTCACAGGAAGTCAACTAAGCACACCTGCTCTTCAATGCACTTGCAGTCATTTTTTGTTCTTGCAGTCCATACAATACCACTTCCGTGCTTTGGGAGCCCTTTTTAGGTTCACACATGCAAAGTGGAACCACTTGTATTCGCACGACACTCCATCACATCGAATCATGTCCCCGGATTCAGGCCCGCTGCAGTGGCAGTATGTGCTGTCGGGTTGACTTTCCTCACTTGCTGCAGCTTCTGCAGCCTGTGATGCTGCCTCAGCATGTCTAGTGCTCCAATACTTGTAGATGAGCTCGGGCAGTAGCACAGACTGAAAGTATTTCCCACAGGAAGCGACAATCTCTTTGCAGAGGCGCTCGTCTCTCACAATTCTGAAGTCTTGAACGTCTTTGGATGTCCACACCACAAAGTCACAGTAGTCTCTGTTGCAAACCAGCATCTGTGTCTGAATCTGGTAATAGTAGCTGTGGTCCTCTAGCAGCATCATGTCATCCCCTTGTTTGTACAGGCAGGAGTTCTTCTGGCCAGGCATTTCCTTGATGAAGTTGTCCCGGAATGTGTAGGGGCACTTAACTTCCAAAACCCCTGGCCCACAGCATGAGCAGTCGATGAGACCATCAGGTGTTGCACCTAGGAATGGGTGCTTGGACGAAATGTGAAGCCCTGAGCGCCTGCACGAGAAGTCCTCATGTAGTCGCACTGCTTTGGCTTCATACGCTTGGAGGGCTTTCGGTTCGTTGTTCCTTCCCCAGGCCACTGCAGGGGACCAGAACTGCGATTCCATTAGATGGCATATCTTCTTAAGCAGTGACTGTGATGGCTGGCTGACAGATGTCTTGCAGACCGTCCTTGCGTTCGATGCGGTAACCCGGCCTGCACGGAAGGAAAACCACTTGGCCGATCCTGCTTGCTCCGTGGTTTGTTCTTGTATCAGGGCTGCAACCTGGAAGCAATACACAAAATGCATTTATACTTACAGATCAATCGGATCAAATGAAGCTTTTCTGTCAACATAACTGGACAATTCAAAGGTTCAAAGGTGTTTATTGGCTAAAACAACCATAAAACAACCATCACCAACGACAAGCCATGCACTACTGTGAGACATTAAAGGGATGCTGAACAGAAATTTGGATTTCAGAAAACAATGTAGGATCAGTAGGCGGGACGCTACAATCCCTACAAGACCACTCGCAAGGCGATATCGCCAATGGACGGCCGTATTTTTAGAAAAAGAGGTCGCGATTGAACAAGGCCAACGACGCGCGTGACGTCAACATATCTCCTTTCCTCCTCTCTCTGCTTTGCCCCCACAAGGCGGCGAGGCGGAGAAGATGTGAGGCCATTACCTCTCCTTCTCGACTCTTCTCGGAGAAACAAGACGTCAACATACCTGTCAAATGCGCCTCCTTTTTTTTTTCTTTTTTTTTTTTAGAAAAATACGGTTATTTGTTTGAGATATTGCTGTATGAGTGATGTTTTGGTATTCGTAGCATCCCATTGCACGCTTCTGCCGAAGTGTTTTGTGGAATCCAGATTTCCGTTTTTACGTAATGATTGTGTGTAGCACCAAGAATATTTTCCTGAGTGGGGAAGCGGGTTTCATGCATAAATTTCTTTAAATTCTGGCAATCAAAGAAGTGCAACATGCAAAATATTCCTTATGTTTAGAAAATGCTAAAATATGGTTCATGTCAATTTTCACCTAAGCGAAAAGATCTGGTAGTAGGAATATTTAATGTGGCTCAGTCAGGGGTGAAAAATTTAAAGGGTGCCCACACTGAAAAAAGTCGCTTGTTTGTAAAAAAAAATATCTGGGAACAGCTACAGTACCTGAGGCTCAACGGCAAGACTGTTGGTGACCTCGGCACACTCCACCACCAGCTCTTCCCATGCAGGCGTCGGATCATGACTTGCGAGGTTTGACAAGATGGCACTGGGAAACTTTGTGGCAAGTGGTACAAATTCATGGGCATATTTTTCGCTGAGAAGCAGAAGTGCAGGGCGACTACCAGCTTGATGGCACCTCTCCAAGAACATCTCCCATTCTTCTTCCGTAACTTTTTCACTGCTCTTCTGAGCAGCCACTGGGGCACGTTCTTCTCCATCCAACCTTCGTTTTTTCATCTCGGAGGACGAAAAGTCCATTTTTGCAATCGGCACGCAGTCGACTACTCGGACATGGGGAGGCAGCCAAGCATTATCTTGGTCCGTGCAGGCTTGATCATTCCGCCTCCTCACCACAGCCTCCATGTAGAACAGGACTGCTCCCACATGAGAGCATGCCTCCCCCAAGCCTGACATGCAGGTACAGTGGGCCACTTGCACCTCGCCATCTGGTTTGACGAGCAGCCAGGGCCTCAGGAGTGCGTCCCTAATGGACTGCGAGTGCCGAACCTGAGATGAACACATTTATAAGTATCAGTTGCGATAGCAGTTGCCGCTCACGAAATAACATTTATAAAGAATCGCCAACGCGATCTTCCCCTTTACATTTACTCAGCTTTCAAACGCGCTACTTTGCGACAAGTCACACTTCCCTCAAGAATCAGTACTTCTTAAAAGGCATACTGTTACAAGCGACGACAGCGTCTAACCCCTTACCTTGCCAACAACTACGATGTTGCCGTCTGGGAGCACCTTCACGAGCGGCTCCTGGACCCAACCACTTGTCAAGTAGTTGTGTGCCTCCAGGGACTTGTATGCCTTGAGCTGATCTCTCGTCAAAAAGCTTGTTGAGTGAACAAGGTAGTCCTTAATATCTGTAAACTGTACTCGAGGGAACAGATTTGCATTGAGCACCAATTCGTCTTGCGTCAAATCCAGGGGGTCGACGCCGTCGCATCGCCGAACTTTGACAAGGTACCGCGCCTTTTCCGGGCCGCTCAGATCGGCCCCGTACTTGCTTAGGCGCATTCTGCGCGAGCCACGGGGACCACGGAATGCTTTCAAACAAACAGAGACAGGTTTTTAAACGGAGGCTCTAAAACAATGAAAGAAAAGCAAGCTACTTCTCGCTCGCGCACGGGTCGTGCTCGCCGCTCAAGCAGGTTCACGAACGATTCGGTGCACCGGCAAAATGGCGCCCGCAGCGCTTGTTGCCAGCACACATGGTGACATTTTTTTGAGTGAATACCACCTATTGGCAGTGGCGCAACTTAAGATATTTCAGTCGCTGCCTTTGGCCTTCGCGGTCTCTGTTCAAACCTTTTAAGAAAAATCTAAACCTTAAAAGAATATAGAACTTCACTACAGTTGCCAAGGTTTTCTTTCCATGCTCGGGGCACCCTATCTGAGGCAATTTCGAGGACTGCAGGCTCCGTGCAAACTCTTGCATGCTCTTTTCATGCACACTGTTCTTGCCGAAGAAGCTAGTGAATGCATCCTCCATGGCTGCTACTGTCTTTGCCAGGTTATCAGTGGGATAAATAAGCCCACCGTTATCAAAATGAGCCGTGAAATAAGAGTTAACATCATTCATCGCTTCTTTTTGAGACACGCACAACTCGGCTGCGCAACTCGTGCATGCATTCTTAGCTACCGTTTTTCTAGACACATAGCCAGCAACGTAGTACACCAAAGCCGCGTTGCTTTTTTTGTTAGAATACCCTTCATGGTCATTTTCTGGGTGAATGGACTGAAGAACGTCTTCTGCTTCATCAATGTTTCCATTGTCCAGAAAATGGTCCAGTTGGTCCGACAGACACTTCGCTGTGACAGTGGGCACATCTGCAGTACTCAAGAGCGATTTAACGACTGCAGGAGGGCAATTGCCTCCCTTTGGTGACCTCGCAAGGTTGTAAAAGGACAAGACGTTGACAGTTACTAAGAACTGTGACACGGTTGGGTGGTCGTTACAGCCTGCGGATTGCCTGATTATCCCAAAGAGATTTTCTAGTTTGTCCTGGCTCAAACGAGCAGTTAAAAGGTATGTAAATCCTGCAACAGAGTTCAGGTAAGATAGCAGGTCAAGCGTGCTTTTAATTGTGACCCTGAGCCCAGAAGCTGTACTTCCTGTCAAAAAACCTC